GGTGGGGCTGCCGCGCTAAGAGAGAGTGCGCTTGCGAGCGGCGTTGCTTAGCAACCCAGAGCGTCCCGGGGTGGTGCGCGCCTCACCCGCGGCTGAGGAGCGGGCGGTAGGAGCAGATGCGTGGGGTGGAGGTTGCTATCGCGGGCAGCTCGCGGAGGGGGTAAAGGCCCAGCCTGCGCTTAAATGGGGCTCGGGGACGGGTGGAGGTGGATGGGGGCCTCAGGTGAAAACGGTCAGGGCAAGGAAGGTCAAGGGTGCTTTTAGGAGCCTCAAGGCTTTGTTAGTTCGAACTAAAATCTATCCTTAATCGTTCAGAGAACTGCTTCCCTGTTCTTCACAGATCCCTGTAGAACTTTTCTATGTCCTGTTGTGGCTTTGAGGTTTTTTGCTGTTACTGTGGCCTAGAATTACCAACATAGTTCCAAGCAGTTTCTGAGTTACACGTGCTTAAGCAGTGAGGGGTGTGCAACTGTTTTTCTGCAGTGCTTGGTATAACTGATCTATCACTGGAGCTTTTAAGAACTAAACCAATATTAAATTTAAATAACTTTTTTTCTGTTAATTGCTGGGTTAACAAAAGGAGTATATTAATTATTTGGTGCCTGAGGCAATCATTTTTAAAGCCCCTGATTTAATTCTGATGTTGATGGCTAATGTCTGTCTGTCTGTTTGTTGTTAGTAGATGTAAATGGAGTCTCAGTATCTGAAGAGATGCCTGGGAAGCTGCTTGAAAAAGGGACTAGCAGAGGTTGCAGAGCATCGGCCAGCAGATCCAGTAGAGTATCTAGCACATTGGATTTACAATTACAGAAGAATCTTAGATGATGAAGAAAAGGTGGATCCATCTTGGGCAAAAAAAATCATGACAACATAATTAATTCATGCTATTTAGTCTCTCTTTATTTTTTAAATTGATTCTGTGTTATATCTGAAATAGAGAATGTTGGAGAGGATTGAGCTGGAACAAGAACGGGAGGTGGCCCTGACAGAACTTGAAATGTTAAGAAAAATGAAGGAAGAAGAGCTAATGATCCAGCAGAAACTTGCAGAACAACGTCAGGTTAATAACAATAATAGATAACTGTAAATAGCGTATGATGCTGTGGATCTTTTAGTGCTCTGTATACTTCTAATCTCTGTATAATGATTTTGATTATGCAGCTTCTGAAGTTTTGATGCAATAGGATTTAGGCTCACAAAGAATAAACTCTTTGTATTAGATATTTCCACTGGGAAATTTTAAAGGTTGATGATGAAAATGATTAATGTTAATGACATTGCTTACCAATCTTTTCTATAGATTCAATTCTATGTGGATTCATCTGCCTGTACTAGATAGTACAGGAACTATCAAAGAGCTTAATCCAAAGTGTAGGAGATAATGAATATAGACTGATAAAGAGCATGAGGAATGAGACAGTATCTTAAGTGTGTACTCTAACTTCATTTGTCCATTTCTTCTTGGTAGTAAAGCCTTTCTATACATGCGAGTCTAAAACCTGTGAAAATGTTGAGTCATATGGTACTGAAAGGGCTTTATGTTATTATTGCAGTTACATTTTAGGCTTCATTTTTAAATTTTATTTAAGATTTCAATAATTAAATATCTTGTACGCAATGGGATGGGGAAAATGAATGTGGTTTTTTGTCCTTCTAATTTGTCCTTTCTTAAACTGACTGCAGGGTCAGTTGGAACAAGAATGTGAGGAGTTGGAACTGCAGAAGGAAGAAGACAAAATGATGTTTGAGCAGAAAGATCAAGAGGTCTAAACCAAAGCTTAGTCAGTGGTTTGAAAATACCTTTAATCAGCTGTCTTTTCCAGATTCTGACACTAAATGCAAAACACACGGCAGAATCTCATGGATGTTGAACTAACACATTTAAAAAAAAATTTGTGAAAATGGGGGAAGAATGTCTAATCTGTGTTTTATACTTGAATTTTCTTCTGTTCTGTGAGATCTATTTAGTGTATATTCAGAACAGAGCATAAATTTATTGCAAACTTTAGTGTAAGGTCAGCTTAGTTGATGCTTTCATATTCTTTGATGGTATTTATGAGAAAGTATTACAACTTAAGCGTGTCTAATTTAACTGTCTAGGCTGTAACATTTTACTGTATGTCAGTATAAAGTCCATTTGCTGTACCTGGAAAAGGAAGTGTGGTTTGGAATTGGAATGCCTCTTGATTCTGAAGTCCTCCTGGTGCACAGGAATTTATACTAACAGAAGAACATGTATACAAATGTCAGTGTCTTTTAATGCTGTTTCAGTAAAAACATACACTGGTAATTGTCGTGTTTAACTCAATAAAGTTTAAGTGTGAATATCTCTTATATTTACATGGAGCATATTATATTCTAGAGATATATATGTTCTTATAGCACTCTGTTAAAATACTGACAGAACATAATTGTAGAAAGATGAGAGTATGAAAGAGACAGGAAAAAATGAATATGTAGAAATTTAAACCAAAATTCCTGTTATTTAAAAAACTGATTAAAATAGTCTTAGCAAGCATACAGAGACCATATTCATGTGCGAATACATTTGTATAGCACACATCTAAAGTATTATCTTTATATCAATACATAATAAAATTTTAACACATCTGAAATATTCTCTGTAGATAATTATTCATGACATGGAACACTTTGAACTGAAAACTAGTTTTCATTACCATAGGGAAATGAAAAGAAGATAGCTGAACTTACAGATAGACCTGGAGCGCCTCATTTGACCAGAATCGAGGAGCTAGATGAGAATGGACGGTCTGAGGTAAGTGTGTAGAAAGAACAGGGAGATTATAAATCATTGGCTCTTACAGATTTACTTTCCTGTGCTGACATATCAAAGGTTAAAACTGTTGCAGTTAAGGCTGTTCTGGTTCTCTCCTGTGGTTTTAAGGGATGGTATTTTGGCCACAACCTCCCAACTGTCCTTAGCCTGTTCTCTGGTAAGTTAAGCCGTTCTGAAAGACTGTGTGGTGTTGACTGACTGAATTCTCAAGATTTAAAATGCCCTTTTGTATTCAGATATGTTACAAATGGAAGTATGAATATCCTCAGAGAGGAGGCAGCCTTCCTTTGCCATGTGAACATGTAGTCATATATAACATGTATTAAGTCACAAAAGATGACTCATTTTTGCGTGATTGAAGTTCTTTATATATTTTTGGTTGTGGTGAAGTATATTTTTTGTGCAGCAGAATGCAATCGCGTGCAGAGATATCTGAGCAAGCTTTTAACATGAAAAAAGAGATACTAGCCACGAACAGTGCTCACTAAGGCTAGGACCTACTGAGAATCAGGTTATCTGAGCCCTGTGTCGACATGAATCTACTGCTTTCAGTACTACAACTATGGCTCTACATTGTCATCCTCAGACATATTCTATGCCCAGTTTTTTTTTTTGATTTTTTTTTTTCCTTCCCTCATTCCTTTTATACTTGACAGTTTAAGGAAATGAAAGGCCATTAATCAGCCTTCATTTATTATAAGGCATAGCAATACATTTAACAGATACTGCCAACTCCTGAGAAATCACTTGGCTTTATGAGTATTCACTGGTCATAAAAATATTGATATCTGTCAGACTTTTTTGTATTTAAGAGTATTCCAAGTGGTATGACTTGACATTTTCATATACTAGTTTTAGTATCATTATCAGAACCCTTTTTCCTTTATTAGCCTTGATAATTTGCTCATTTAGTTTCTGTTATCAGTAGTGTAATTCTAGCTCAGAATTTATATTGTGATATTAATATGCTTTATGCTTAAAGTTACTCTAATAACAGCCTGTTTTATAAGTGTTCTCAATATATTTATGAACATAGTTATTACTATTCTTAGGGTCAAGTTTTCAAAGGTGTTTTTTTCACTAAGGTAAATCAGATGAGTTCTCAAGGTTTTGTATAGATGCAATTTTTATAGTTTTGTGGTAATTACATATTAAAAAGTATTCTTGAGGCTTTTGGCATATTTTATATGTTCTTAAATAAATGAACTGCAAAACCAGAAGTGAAAATGAGTAGTAAACTTACCTACTTCTTCTGATATGTGCCATTTTCCAAGTTTTCATATCTAAAGTAATTTAAAGTTGGATTAGATTGGCCTTTGGTGATGTTATTCCAGGCTTTACAGTAATATGTTTGTGGAATTAAACTACAAATTCAGAACAGATCAGTAATATTAAAATATATAGATATGCACTATTGAAACTGTTCTGTTATCAGAATCATAGTATTTCATCCAGACTTGCTGGATTTTTATAATAAAAGTCTGGTGATGAACTTCATCGTATTTCACTGAATGGAAGAACACATAATTATATTGATGAATATCAACTTGTCTTCATGTGGGTTTTTTCTTTTTCTTTTTTCCTCTATTTTTTTCATTTTAAAAGGTTCGGTTAGTGCTGGCAACTGATAGAATTTCTTTTTTGTTTTTAGAGTGTGGCAGATGTCATGGCAGAATCACAAGAAACTTCCCCTCTGATCTGAAAGCTGTAAATATATTTTCTACTCATTACTTGCTGATCCTGAAGTGTAATGTCTTAATTTATGTGTTTTGTATATAGAAGTGATTTACATACCTGTTGTTCCAGTTTCTGTGCTTTCTGTGTGTTTGTATAAAGTCTGTTAATTCTGGCATGTGATGCTTCCTTTTTTTTCTTAAACCATTGTAGCTAGCACGGCTGACTCAGAGGAAGAAAACTGCAATTGAAATTAAAGCAGTAACTGTATTTTCTATTTATTGCCCATTGATTCTTGAAGTGTGACAATGTAATAATTATAGATCTTATTAATGTGTCAAGATTATTTCAGCGTAGAAGCTACAATATGATAATTTGAATCAATATTAAAAGAATAAAAGATTATTGAAAAAGGATTTTCCAAGAATTTGAATGGTTTCTGATAGAAAGAGGGAATGCCCTACAGATTAGAAGATGGAGAGAGAGTTCTGCACTTCAAACTAGATGCAAAAATCAATTCAGAAGATTTTCCAATTTATCTGGAAGAAATAAATTGAACTTTATGTGACTCAGTAGGCAAATGTACTGGAAAATCTGGTCTATCTTAGAAATCATGAAGTGCTTTTTCTAAATTTAGGTGTTTGCCTTAGGTTTTATAATAACCTTTTCTGGTTATTGTGTGATATTAGATGAGCTGCAAGTGTCTGCATATCAGTTTTCATTAGTCAAGTCTTAAAATAATCTTTCCTGTGTTTGTCTTAAATTTGCAAATCAATAAATTACATCTGTGTTGTGTTTCCTAAATACCATTATTAGTTCTCAAAGCTTCACTCCTAAAAAAATTGAAAAATATTTAGGTTGTTTCATACTTATCTATAAAATAAGTTTTATAATCCTTAAAGATTGCATTAATTTTTATAAGAAACAATTTCCTGTAATCGCTGATTGGTACAGGTTGTCAAGAATGTTTTGTGTCTATTCATGATAAATTGAAAAGACACCATCACTAAGAAATCCTATGCTTCTTGTCTAAAACGTGCCTTTGCATCTCAGTGTCTTCTAATAATACAGGTTAGTTGGACAATTAACATTAAGTCATTGCCAATATCATGTAATGAAAATGCTCTTCATTACAAATTGAGGGCATAATTAAGGTGTTCACTGCTTTCTTCAGTTTTGGGATGAAAGAGATTTTGGAGATAATTTCACTCTAATTTGTTTGTATTATAGCTAGCTTTAAGGGTTTTGTTATCATTGGCAAACTATTAAAAATCTCTACCCAGTAGGCAAAGGTCAGTCATGTAATAAATATTTTTCTGCTCTAAATAACTTGTTGTGTTCATGTAGCTCATACTAGGCATAATCCTATCAATTTTTAAAAAGGTAAGCACTATTGATTCCTAGTAGAGTAGTATATATTTTTTCCCTTAAAATTAATAAAATAACATTTATGTTTAAATCCTGTTGCCCTCTTTATTGTCATATTGCTTTTTGGACGCTGTTAATTGGCATGTCTTATATAAACATCTTTAAAATCAAAAGAGAAAAATGTCACTTTCCAGGTATAAATACTTAGAAATGTTCATGTAACTTTTTAAGTAATGAAAAAATGGAACTACTTGTGTGATGAGGTAGTCAGGCTTTGCTATCTACATCTATTCTGCATCAGTATAGGTTTGCAATTTCTATGACAGTCAAGAACCTTTTCTGTGGAATGAATATGCTCATAATGGTTGATATCCTGATATCAAAAAACTGATAAATAAACATGATTTTTTTCCACAGTTGATGATTATATTTATTAATAACTGTTAAAATAGTATAATTTTAAGGACACATTTTAAAATACTGTGGTAACACAGCAGCTTTCTGTGACAATCTCAAAGGGATAGCACAACTGTATAAGTAGATGGAGTTTCTCTTTTGAGCCAGTATGTATAACTGAATCTTGTTATTTAGATTAAAATTTCCAAAAACTGGTAACTTGTGTCCATTTACATTTTATATCCAATCATGGTGACTATGAAAATTTCAGCCCTCATACAGCCTTCATATTTAATTATGAAATATGTACAAGTTATAAGAAAGTATTTTAAAACATGTTGGTAAATAATTCTAATTACTACTTCGAACCTGTGGCTTTAATTTTCTATGTTTTCCTAATATTTGTATCTTTGCTTGATTTTGTTATATGTGTGTCCACTAGAGTGCATCCTAAATAAACACACTGGTGGCTCTGTCAGTTGCAGCCCATGAAAACTACAACTTTTGTTTGTCATTTCGTTTCAGCTTTTTTTTTAACTGTGACTTTTTCTTTGTGTGTTCCCCATACTCTTTCTAGATAGGAATTGAACTTTTGGGGGAAACTTTTGTCAGACAATTGCTTAGCAAGGGTCAAAATAAAATGGTAGATTCCTATTTGCCTATTCCTTTGCAGTTATCTTATATACAGAAGAAATAAGTTGTTCAAATGTTATTTATAGGAATTCCCTTTCTTTCAGGATTTAATGTGCCTAGACCTAGTGCACTGATTGCCTTCCACAGCTTTGTAGGAATTCTTATGTTGGCCGTGGGACCAGAGGGTAAACAATTCTTGGTGCAGTGCCTTCTTAGAGTGCAAAGAAGCCTGAAGGTTACTTGGAATGTAGTTCGTTCAAAACAAGGATGACTTCTGCTTGGGTGTCTAAGCCTGTAGGAAAATTAAGGCAGCTGAAAAGAATCTTTACCTTTTCCTTCTGAACTTTAACCTTTTTTGGAGTAAAGGAACCTAGAGCCTGGAACAGGAAGAGAACAGAGGAGAAGACACTATTTTATTTTGACTGCACATGATGAAATTCCAAAAATGTTAATACAATTTAACCTCTGCATAAAATCTAAAGTAGTATATTGAAAAAAATAAATATGCCATTACCTAATTTAGCTTAAGCTACAGCTTGCATTCCCTTTGAATACATTTTTGTGTAATGGAGAAGATGGAATTCAGAGACAGATGATGGAAAATGTTGCTGAAAATATGATGCTAAATACTGACAGAAGATTTATGAAATTGTCATTTTTCCTTTCTTCAGAATAGGAGCAGACTTATATAGGCTGCTATCAGACTGCATGTACAGATCCTCCAGAGAACATGCTGATAGTAACGTGCCCATTCACAGCTGTTCTCATTCCAGCAATACCGAAGTGCAAGGATGAAAACAGATATGAAGCCCAGAATAGGACAAAATGAGTCAGATTAACTATCAGTCTGTTCACAAAGATGGAAACTCAGCTCTGCAATGTGAGAAGCGTTTCTCCTATAAGGACATACACATGTTGCAGCAAGCACGTTTTAATGTTACCTTTTAATAGAATAGGTTTTATTAAGTCTGCAGTCCCCTTTCTTATCATGGATGATTTTACTTTGTAGTCTAAAGGAACTAACTTTTCTTAAGCAAAAGCCTTATATAGTAAGTTACTACTGGTAATGAGAGTAGCATGAATTAGTCTGGATTAAATGTAAAATTGAATTCCTCTAAACTTTGATAATACAGTTTACTTATATTTGAAATCAGCTATTAATTGCTTTACTTCTGTGAAGTTTTTCCTGTACTTTTGTTAGAATAGAACGGTGTTGTCTATTGACTACAGCTACAAAATAGAGTCTTATGCTCGTATTTGCTGATAAGGCCAGATATACTTTTAAAAATATCTTGCCAGTATGCTTGTGTGTTTGTTTGTTTGTTTTTTAGTTTTGTTTGTTTTCTGGCATTGCCATTATAAACCTCATACAATCTTTGTGCTTTATACTTGTGTATTAGTTTCAATTCATATTATGGAAGAAGCTATTCTATTATAAACATTTATATAAGTACTGGGCTAATAATACTGGAAGAAAGGCAAGGTAGAGGAAGGTGTCATTTAATTGTGCTGTCACAGTGTAGCAAACATTTTAAGAAGCAGAAGACTGTTCACAGAATTTGAGAGCTCTCAGATGTGTATCCAACTTAAATGCTGTGTCTTCCCTGTTAGCCTGCACCTCGTAGAGTCATTGTCATAAACCAAAATCAGTGTTTAACTTCAATCAGAGGTCAGAATTGTTGTTGTTTATACTATGTTTTATTTAAAATAAATTCCTCTAGAAGATGTTATGTCATGAGAAATTACATTCACTAGGGCCTGTGTGGAGATGCTGAATTCTTCCATTTTATCTTTAATTGCAGGGCACCCTAAGTCAATGTCGACTTTACAAAAAATTGAGATGACCATTTCCTTAGAGTAGTCCTTTGAGTGTATGGACATGAGTTAATTGAGCAGGAGGTAAAAAAAAAAAAAAAGTTATTATGTTAAACCATTTTACTATTAATACTAAAGCATGTTTGTATTATCACCTGAAAGTAAATCCACAGGCAAACGGTCAGGTAATGTAATAAGTAGAGAAGGCTGCTGATTGATCTTATTTGAGTTGTTATCTGTTATAAAGGCTGTATTGTCTCTGTTGACACAGAAATACATACTTCACTCAAAATCAAAACTCTTCCCCATTATTTATTTACATGTGACATAATTTAAAATTTCAGTGTACTTTAAACAATGGTGTGAAGTTTGTGTTTGATTTAAAAAAAAAATATTTAAAGATATCATACCAAAGTTACCTGAATAATCTTACTCTCTCTAAGGAGTATCTAGAAGGTTTAGGAATCTTTTAACACTCTACAAGGAGATGTTGCCACTTTCTGCATCTAGCCATTCATGGATCTCAACAGAAGTTCCTATTATAAAGGATCTTTTTTTCTGTAATCCTGTGAAAGTAAGTGTGAAAATCATTATTTTAGTTTGATGCAAGAACCCGTTGGTGTTTGAGTTCAACAAATTGTATTCTGGACAAAAGAAATTAGTGATTGCTCCATATTTTAGATGTAGTCTAGCAGATTCCAGGTAAAAAAAAAAAAAATTTGCTTTTTCTGAGGGAAGAACAGGAAATACATCTTTATCAGTATCTTGGTTAGTCTGTTTTTCTTAATGAACTGAATTGTATTTTCAGCTCTGTAA